TGGTTACTATTGCACCTACTAAAATAATATTATGGGTACTCACATGATGACCAATCAATCTTTATAGAATTTTTCTTGAGAATATTTTTTGTCCATGTTAAGGAAAAGATTATCAATTTCTGCTTATTTGTTAGCTAAATGGTTAATATTTTTGATGGATTGGTCACTTTTGCAATAACTTCAGTAATGTCACAGATATTTTTTTTTTCTTTTTCTCACTTTAAATTATTGGATGCTTTTGGACAATGACTTCATAGATATTTTTGTCTCTTTTTTTAGTTCATATCAATAAAAACTAACATATCATAAGCACAATCAGCATTTAACACTGAAAACTAATGGCTTAGGGCAAGTTAATAATTTAATTACTTTTGCACCAACTTTGATAATATGATTAGTGTTTTTGCCTTTTGTCTCGTTTTAAGCTCTTAGATGTTCCTGGCTAATCATTTAATAGGTATTTTTACACCTTAACCTTTTATTAATATGAATTATAAAATTGATAATGAATTATATTATTTATAAAGTATGACTACTATGCCTCATCCCCTTATCATTTAAGGGAAAAATAAACAAGCTGCATCTAATTTCTCTGAATTCTTATATCGTTTACCTTTCAGTGAGATTGCATTTTAAATAAATATTTTAAATAAAAAATAATTTTTGGAAAAAAATCAATTCTCTGTAAAAAAAATTATGGGGATAAACAACAAACAAAACGAATCTCTTTCAAAATACAAAAGATAAAACTAACTTCTCTTAGTTAGGCTTACTTCATATAGAAAAGTTGAGAATTAAATTTTAGACTGCTTAAAAGGGTAAAATTCTTACTCCTCACATTTTGTAGAGTAAGATAAACTGGCCTCCTTTCTATTTTGTTTAAATTATAGAAACCTCCTCTTTATTTTCAAAACTTACACTTTAATCTAATGTTTAACATCGTTAAGAATATTTAATCAAAGATTCCAAAATATTTAATTTTTCATTTGTAACTATGTAAAAAATTTTAAATTATCAATTTGCCCTTATATTTCCTACTCTCTCTCCCCCCCCCAATTTAACGAACTCTAAATAATTAAGTATGACAGTATTTAAATAAAAAATAAAAATATCTTCTTAAAATTATAAAATTTATAAAAAATTAAAAATAAAGTATATTAACTATTTTATTTCTTATTATATTAAATTATTATTTTATTATTTTTTTGAAATATTATTTTAGTCTAAATAGGTAAGCCTGCATAACAAAAATAAAATAAAATATGAATTAAAAATGTAAAAATATATCCATTATTTTTTTTGATGACTTAAATAATTTTTAGATAAAATTTATATTTAAAGAGAGGTAATTTAGTCAAACATATATTATTTAAAAATTAATTAATGGTTAGATGGATATAAATAAAATCTTAAAAATAGAAGGAAAGTTTGCATATGATAACTATTGATTTAAGAGAGCTTCATATAGATTTTGAAAATAGAGAGGAAATATCTATAATCAAGATAAAATAGAAGAAAGGTTATTATATTTTACTCTCTTTTTTTGTTTTTGTTTCAAACACTATTTTTATCAACCTAAGTTGGAAAACACGGAAATTTATTGATATAGTTGTAATGTAATATTCGTTTATAATGTGTTTTTCTGGTCTCTTGAAACTTTACCATTTGCGTTGAATACAGTACTAACGTAAGATATTCACCCTCACAAAAAGCATAAGATGCTTACTAGACCAGAAGGCCCCTTGAGAACTTTATGTTTCTTTTAATATTATATTTTTCAAATTCCTTGTCATATGTAAAATGTCCAACTAACTTTCTTTCAAAAAAAAAAAAAAAACCATTGCAAATTGTTGCAACACTCATATTGAAAGACCAAACTTTGATAGGGAGATAATATCATAACTGCTTCCAAAGAAAAAGAAGGTATTAAAGAGTACAGAAGTTTTACCTGCTTATGTATTTAATGAATTAATTTTAATTTTGTAAATAGAGTTTTGAATTAACCAATATTTTTTTTATCAGTATAGTTTCTTCATATTGCCATGGTTGAATCTGTCAAACCTAATTAAAATTAATTTTCTCAAAGATATTTTGTACATTCATACGAAGTCAAACTAAAGTCATTGTATTCAAATGGTCATAATCTCATGACAAAAGCCTATTGGTATAACTTTTCCCTTAAAATATTAGGGATGAGGGAGGGTATATTATTATTATTATTATTATTATTATTATTATTAGTAGGGACAAAGGAGGGCATCCTATTTGATATAACAAGAAGAACCTCAAATTCAAACTTCACGGGCCTCATTAGGATAAGAAAAGGAATTGATGAGAATGTAAGTAATGATTGCCATCATAACACATTTAAGACTCCAAAATCAAAATCAAACAAAATACGAAAAAGATCTCAAAGTTTAGAGTAGTTTTTACCCCATTGTCATCTAAAAAAGCCAAAGTAATTGGTAAAGCAATATTTCCTGTCTACAATACAATCACCATCACCACCATGTTCCTTCGTCCTCAAGATTCTACCCCTTCACTTTATTCCACCTCTTGTTACTCTGTATCATTGAAATTAAAAAAAAAAAAATTATTATTATTATTAACTCACCTAACTCAATATCTCTTTATTTTCAGACTTTGGTGTTGATTCAACCACCACCTCCAATCTCCATGGTTATAAAGAGAGCGAATTTTTTTTCCATCTCTCTTTTCTCAGTCTCAATGAATGAACCTGAATTTTGCTTCCAGGTGAAAATAGAAAAAAGGATGTTTTCAAAATATATATGGGCCCCACATCACCTTTTTTTAAGCCCCCATGAAAATGAATCCAACTTTTGCTAATTTTTACCTTAGGTAACTTCAGGTAATCCATCTATCCTCATACTCTGACGCATGATCAGTGAAGAGGTTTCTTCCTTTAGAAATGAAAAAGCAGTGAGAGCTTGAAGAAAAACCAGTAAACTTATCAAAAAAAACAAAGGGTTCAGATTGAAAATACTTTTGTAATAAACTGATATTATTATATTATATTATCTCACAACAGCTACGTGTGTACACATACAAATCCATGATCTGCAATTTTAAAGTCAGTGGGAGGAAAAAGCAGAGACATTATGAATAAAGGAGATTAATGATGAGGAGACATTGAAAGTATGAAGATTCTTGCAAAAAGATGGTCTTGTCCTGTGCCCCAATCATCACTGTCCATCAACCCCTCCTTCCACAAGAACCAGACTGGAATGAACAATGAAATTATACCATACAAACAATGCAAAAACCAGCAATAGCTTTCCCTTTTCATTGGTAAGCAGTCAGAATTTCTTGCTTGCCCCTGCCGACATCATCCACTGTCAATACTACCAAATTATGTAGAATCATCATAAATTAAAATATATGATGATATCAGCAATACAGCATTCTACTCTTCTAATGACTTCACTCCTCATAGTTTATTCCATCACTAAGAATTTTTAGGTGAATTCGGTTCATGATTATTTTGATATTTCCTTCTTAGAATTATTCAGTCTCCGATGCCATTGAATGATCTATATTCATGCTGTGTTGGCCCCAAATATGGGCAAACTTTCTTCAAGTAATTTTTTTTTTTTTTTCCATTTACAAGACTTGAATTTGAAACCATGTTTGATAGGGCATCTTGCCTTTTTTACTCCACCCACTAATTGTTAATTGATCTATTTCTCTGTTACTGACATCATTATTTGATGGGAAAATTAATAATTCAATTCCTATTTACTTGATTATAACTTAATCTCTAACTTTTAAATCAGTGTAATTCAATCTTTACAAGTTTAACTCAATTGCAACTTAGTTCTTAAACTCTAACCCATTACAATTCAATCTCTATAGTTTTAGTAATTTAAAATTATAGTCCCTAAGTTTCAAGCAATAAATTTACTCCTTAAAATTTTAGAAAAGTTTTCTAAGATATAGGGATCCATGTTTTAAATAGTTAAAACTATTAAAATTAAGTTGCATTGAGTAAAAAATTTAGAAATTAAGTTGCCACTGAATCAAAATTATAAAAACTAAATTACGTGTTAAAATTCAATTACTAGATTTTAATTTAATCAAAACTTTAGAAACTAAATGATTAAGGGCTTACTTGGTTTCTATTCTTATTTTTTATTTTTAAAAACTGTTTTTTAATATAATTTTCAAAATTGTTTTCCAAAACAAAATAGAATAAAAATCCGTTTGACTATGTCAATTAAAAAACAATTAAAATTAAAAAATGAACTGATAGTGATTGTTATAGATAATTAATGGTAGTAATTAATAATAAAAATTGATTAAGATAACTATAATTTTCAATAATTAAATATAGTGTATTTTAAAAATTAAAAAAAAAACAACTTAAAGTTATTTTTATTTTTTGTTTTTAACAGTTTTGAAAACAATTAAATGAAAAACGCTTATCTAAAGAAGTTTTTAAATTTTTCTGTTGCCGACTCATTAGTTATTAGCGATCATCAAGAAGGTCAATAAGAAGGACGCTTCCATTATTCCTTTCTTGGAGGCAGGTGAAGAAATATAAAACCATAGCAAGAGAGCATGAAGAAAGGAAGGAGAGAAGGTGGTTAATGCTAGATTCAAGCTGCTTTATCTGATTATGTACAGTATATGGGGTCTGAATTTTTAAGAAGCACAGAATTTGCAAGAAAAAAAGGTAGTATATGATTCTGTGGGCAACAGACAGCCATGGCACCATAGAAAATAATATAACAACCAAGGGCCGAGTGATATATAACAACCAAGGATTTAAAAGTTGCACCTCAAAAATCAAAAAACAGAAAAAGAAAATCATACGTGTAAATAAGCATAGAGACGCAGAGATAGATTTCAACCACCTTATGATGAAAATATTTACATAATTATTCACAAGTAAAGAGAAGAATGCTTGCCTTGATTTAGTTTGATAGCCTATGTACAACTCTAGGACATACTGCCATCAGTTCCTATATTTTCCAGAAGGACAGCAAAAAAAAAAAAAAAAAAAACCTTAAAAAAAATGTATGATAGGAAGAGGCAAAAAGAGACAATTAACAGCGCCAGAATTTAGAACTCAAACCAGTTGTTCATGGACATGGTTAAGAATAATCACTTCAATTTACAAGCAAAAACAGCTCCATGACGTTACAATATACCCTTTCAACCAGATCATGTATCTTCTCACGCCGACAACCCTCCTTGCTTCCACTTTCATCAAGACTTTTATTAGTAATCATGACAACTCAAACGGTTCATTCAGCAAACCTCCAATTTTCAACAATTAGATAGACAATAGTTTGCATAAGGCCCCAATGACTAGTGAATTATCACAAAATTTTATGTTTGAAACCAAAGTTACCAAAGGTTGTGGGCTAAGCGAAAAAAACCAATTAACACAGACACACACATATAACAGAGAAAGGGGGTGGATGGATTGATGTGAAGGAAAGCCACTCATACCTCACTTTTCTTTGACCACGACACTAAGATGGGCCCCCGCTCCCCGTGGCGGGCCCCTCCAATTTCATAAACGAACACGAGAGGTTTGCCAGGTGATATCTACCAGAACTGCTTCTTTGGCTATAGAGATTCTCTCTCTTGTTCTTCCAAGGTTGACCCATGTCATCACCAAGTCTGGTTAGCCACCGACCCAACTCATTCAAGCCATCCCAACTCTGCAGCAAAAAGGAACAGTCAAAATTCGGGAGCCAGGGCAATTTCAGTGTCATTTTTCAGCATCCTTATTCATAAAAAAAAAAAAAAAATTTGTTCTTTGATAATCAGAATCAATTTTTAATTGTTTTTAAACAGCTGAAACACAAGGAAAAAAAATAAAAATCTCAAGCTCTGTTAACTGAACAATGGCCAGAAAGCGAGTTTCCATTTACAAGAATCTCAGAAAAAAGTTAGATTAAGGAGCAAAAGATATATCAAGGATGTTTGCACTTATAGCTACAGTTGAGAGTGGATCCATGCTTTATTACTGGTTTTCATATGGATTAGGATATCTCTTGACTCGTATTCTTCAGCAATTTCATGGCATCCTTTTGAATTATCTTTACTGTGCAACATCTGTCAGTAAAATGAGTATTCTCTCAACGGAAGCAAAATAAGAATAACAATTTATCCCTTTTTCGTCAAGCAAAATAGTTGGGTTAGCTCCACTAACAAGTAATAGGTCAATGTTCGAGTGGTTTACAAATCAGTAAACACAGAACTCTAGATTTTACTATAGATCATCAGGAGTACCTCAAATCTTCTATACCAGGCAGTTGCTCAGAACAGTGAGACTTTTTGATTCTTCAGCAACTCAGTTTAGAAAGAGAATCAGATATAAAAGCCAAACAAGTAGAGCACTATAGTGTTAGGATGTGATACGAAGGTAGATCAGGCAGCAAAACAGTGAAATGTTTCAGTTTGTAAAAATTCAAACATATATCATGAATCACACGCAGAGTTTAGAAAACGGATCGTGTTATGGCAAGTCAAGACATGAGAATAAACAAAATGCCACTAACTATCGCAGCATCCTTTTTGCCTTTTATATGCAGAGATCATGATGACCTCTCTCCCTTTCTTTCATTGTAATGATGCCTTTCAATGAACTCATTCTAATTTGAAAGTGTTTCTCCAACCATGAAATTTCCTTTTGTTTTATTACTTTCCCAATTCACACGGCCATATAAATTAGCGTGATCTTAATTACTGGATTATGCACCTGTGTGTGATTCCAACATCACATTTGTGTTAATGACTAATAAAATCAACCATAAAAATTTAAAGCTAAACCCAAAACAAAAAGACAAAAGAAAGGATTGGGATCATCTCACTTATCATGATGGTCATGTAAGGTAAGAAATAGACGTTAAGTAATAATCACAAAAGAACAAAAAAGAGAGTGTCTATGTCTTTACTTAGATGACCATCATTATTATACTATTATACTACATGAGAGCATCCGAATTCATCCATTTTACATAAAGTGAATAACGCTGAATTTTTATCAGGTATCTCAGCAACAGCTGGAAGTTTTAAATTTTCCCCCACAGGGAAGTGAATGGCATGACGTAGTTCACTGCGGCCAATTCTTTATCTGCATTTCACAAGATCTAATGTAGCGCAGCTTTTTGAAGTGAAAAGTTCATTTTGAAATAGGACTGAGAATAATTCTCATAACAAAGCACTCGAGGAAATTACTATGACATTCTTCTGGCTTTATTCCTGGAAGTTTATTTTTCTCATAAATGAAGTTCTTCAACAAACTCTAGAAACCCAAAAAAACGGCCGAGGAAAAAGATTGATGATTAAATAAATAAAATGTGATACCAAAGCCACTAACAGGGTTTTTGAGACCCTTCCACTATCATTTTTTTCAATCACAATTCACGAAAATTTTTCCATAGTAAACAAGTTCGGGAAAGAATCTGATAAATCCTACAGTTACAGAATTCTACAGGAGTTTGAAAAGAAAAGAAGCACATTACACTAAGGGTGCCTCAGCAAAGACCTCAGCCAGCATTCCATCCTCACTACCCGACATGGCAAACAGTTCTGCATCCTTTTCTTCATCACTAGAAATGTCTCTCTTTTCAAGCTTGGCATGAGCAGCAATGTATATCATCTTCTGAACTCTCTCCAATCCGACTCTGGAGTGCTTATTTGCAGTAACTTTTCTCATGAAAGACCACTTACTCTTAAAGGCACATGAGGTTGCATGCAGAACAATAAGCCTTACGGCAATCTTCCCCAGAGACTTTAACTCACTTAGGCAAGTTTCCCACACAAGTCTGCTGCTCGGTGGGTTTGCTACTTTCATCTTCCCAGTCACAGGGTCCTTTTGTTTCATTTGAACTGCCTGCGCATAAAGGGGGTCGAGCCCTTCTGACCTCCATTTCATGAGCTCCATCAACACAACATGAGCATCTTCTCGTGAAGCTAGCCTTGTCAATAACTTATCTACATCTTTTTCTTGTTCACGCGTCAAGCATTTGAATGGAGGAAGGTATTTCCCACTTGTGTCTTTGATCAAGTAAAGTGGGTCGAGTATAAATGCAGCTGACCAAGCAGGGTGGTAATTCTTTCTGAATCGTTTTTCAAGTATTTTCTCCACAGGTCCTTCCACAACATTGTATTTTGCACACCACTCCTTCACTTTGGTCCTTGTTTCCTCCCAGAGAGGCAGACATCGACCAATCAGTGGTCTCTCAGCCTCAATATCTTGAACTATTGCTTTGATAAGCTTTACAAGAGAATAAACTGCCTCCAAATCATTCCAGAATCCCTCACTCTGAACAATTGCAGCAACTTCCCTCGCTTGTGGATCCTCCATGCATGTTACCTTAAACGAGTCTTCCAACATAACCATTTGGATCACTCTAGCACAGCCCAATATGTCCTCCAACATTGGAAAGACAGATGCAAAGTTATTCAAATAATCACACTTGGGCGAAGGAATTCGAAGCAACCCAGTGAATTCAAGCTCCTGTATCCGGTACTTGAGAAAAATGTTCCTAACCTGAGATTCATTGTTTATATAATTTGCAACTTTTAGGCAATTCTCAGTCACAACCCTGAAAAGTGGGAGCTCTTTGTTAAAATCCTTGATTAAACTAATGAACCCCTGAAGCTGACAATAAATATTTACCATCCAGTGATTCTGAAACTCCAAGTTCCTCAACGCTTTCGCCTTATATTTGTCTGCTACAATTCCCACACATCTCTGCACAACATTTCCACTTACACCTGCAACTGTTTCCCATAAAAGCTCCTCCGCATACTTGGGGGACGTGACTCCCCCAGTAAACACTGCTTTTTGGAATACACTAGTCCCATTTGGAAGATTAACAGTAAACTTCACCAAATTCTCTCCCCCACAACACAAGCTGTACCAGTTATCGTTCTTCCAACCATCGCTAGATAACTGAAAAAACATAGCATCTCTTATTTTGGCTTCTGACTCAGCTTTGACCTCATTAAACCTAGCATCAAGTCGAGAACCCGAGATTTCACGTCGCAGAGTTGTTGTCGGCAAACCCACCTGGCTGAGGAAGGCTTGAAATTTGGTCTGCTCGAGAGCTGAGAACGACACAGACCCACATGATTGGTAGAACCAATCCGCGAGCAACTCCATAGCAGAGTTAATCTGTTCCTTGCTTAAAACAGGACCTGGTGAGGCCTTAGGACTCTTGAGCTTTTTCACACTATCTTCAAACATAGCCAATGCACTCAAATCCTCCTTCCCACCGGAAAGCACCAAATGCTGCTGATTCATCCCAACGGAGTTCTGCACCTGTGAATAACTCAATTCGCCGTAAAACCGAGAGGACTCGACCATTGCCAAGGAATGATTTTGATAACTTGAAGGAGGAGGAGAAGTCGGAGCCGTTTGAGGAGAGCTTCTCTTCTTGTGATTGTTCGAAGTAGGCAAAGCCACCGAAGATATCGGCATCGGCGAGAGCGATGAATTGGGTCTCAAACCAGAGCTGAAATTGGGGCACGTACCCCTCTTCAAGTGCTCCGAAGCAGTTCTCGATGGGTTCGAGGCCGAGAACACAGAGTCACACAAGGAGCATTTCAGCTTCACGGATTTTGGAACTCCTGTGTCGGGGTTCCGAATCAGAACGGGTTCCAAATGCGCCCAGTACCAAGCTCCTTTGCCCTTTATGGCTTTGGTTCGCACTGTGACCAGTCCTTCGTACCGCTTGTTCACCGCCTTGACGGCAATATCGTCGATGGAAGGAAGCGGCTCGGTGGATGTGGAAGTCGTGGAAGCCATTGGGCAAAGCGAGTCCAAATTAGCGTAGAAAATAGGCTCTTCACGCTCTCTGAGATTCAACGTCAGAACGGGGCTCCCGTCGGGAGTCGAGCTAGTGGTACTCGAACCATGATGGTAGGTGTTGCCTTCGTTTTCTTGCATCTATCCATAAAGGGTCGCCGCCGAAGACGGCGTCGGAGCTTGTGGGTTCAGCCGGAGTCCCATGCAGAAAACCGGCGACGGAAGCAAAGCTGAAGGAAACTGTCAATGGCGAGAGATGCTAACACAGTACAAAACAAGACAAAGTAAGAGGTCGCTACAGAAATCACCTCATATAAGCTGAAGAAGGGATTGAAGAGATAGTCAGTAGAGAAGAAAGAAAGGAGACACGCATGTAGATTGAGAGGAAGAAGAAGAGTGTGTGAGAGAGAGAGAGAGAGATGGTTCAGGAATATTCAGAGCTGAGTGAAGGTGTGAGAAGTAGGAGGGGTAGAGAAATGAGTCAAATTTTGTATTTCTCACTCAAAGAAAAGTCATGTTCAACTTTGTTTATTAATTATTATTGTGGGGATTAGGTAAAACTATAAACTCTTTTAGGGGTTAAAAAATTAAAATTTAAAAATATATAAATAAATGACACCATTATCATGTCAATAATACAGTCATAATGTTATTAGAGCGGGGAAAATTATGATATTAATTGAACCCTCGTTATTACTTTAATTTTAATATTGTAAACTTGTAATTTTTTTTTTGGCCCACTTGTAAACTTGTAATTTTTTATTAGATTTGAGCATTATTATATCATGTATCTGATATTGAATTTAAGATCTTATTTAAGAAGGATCAAGTTCCTTTTAATTTAGCATTACCAAAAACTTTTTAGTAGTTATTCTTACACATTGATTGATATGAATAAAAAGTATTTCTATTTTTTTTTTCTTGAATAAATGGTAGCTCTTAAAATCCTAAAATAACATTACAAAGTAAATAATAGCCAATTGCCACAAAAAAAAAATCATTTTACAATATTTTATCATGATCGTTTTACATAAATTTGTTGCATCAAAGTAAAAAAGAAAGAAAGAAGAAAAGTGAAATATACTTAAAAGTCAACAATTATATTAAAATGTATATTTTATTATTGCTGCTTGTCCGCTTTAATCTTGATCATTTAATTATCCCATTTAATCCATTTTTACCTCTTTAGTGGCATGCTACTTTATTTGATTCCATTTTTTCATCTTTGGTTTATGATTCCTTCATTCTTTTTCTTTGTACAATGATAAGAAAAATTTTACAACGTTTACCCAAAAAAAGAAAAAATTTTACAAATTAGTATTCACTATTAAATATTAAATTCAACTCATTAGTTTTTTTTTATTAGAACTCACTGCTTTATGTTATATTTTGAAAATGCTAGGTTTTTTTTAAGTTTTAATGCTATCCTTTAAAAAAAAGTAATTTTTTATTTTCTATATTCAATAAAAAGAAAAGTCACGTTATTGTTTGGACTCAGGGACACGTGTCCTCTTCAATTTTTCAAATTATATTTGATCACATATTGACATTAAGTTTTGTTGGCTAAAAAATGGACAATAAGACATGAACTTTTGACATTAATGTCTCTTGTCTTTCCTTTTTTTCTTTTTTTTGAAAAATTTGAATACATATGGCTTTTGTGAATTTTTTATTATATATTTTTTTTAAAAAAATATTTTTTATTTTTAATTTCTTTAGGTGTAAAGCTTCAAAGTATATTCTCATACCTCTAATCTTTAATCTTTGACTTCTCAAGAAAATTTTCCAAACTCAAATTACTCCAGCCTTGAATAATAAGTTGCCAACATATCATATGTTAGTCTATAATGTCATTATTTGTAACTAACTTAACAGCATAGAAGTAAATGTTTAATTTCATTTTGTATAGATAAATTTGAACAATAAACTATAGAAGTATATTTTTAACAAGATATAATACTTGGAAGAGAAAAATTAAATTGCAAATGAACGTTAGTCCAATATGTAAGCATGACTCATATCTTATGATAGTAGAAGTTCAAGTTCCATCCCCTAATATGAATAAGCAATATTTGTAAGTACCTATTTGAATATTTTTTTTTGTGTGTATTAATAAACTGCTTATTTATAGAATCAAATTCTAATTGTTTTTATTACTAAGTTGCTCGTTTGATTTAAGTTTTGAAATTAATATTTCATAACTATTTGTAACAAAAATAAGCCAAAACTAATTGAGTGAGTCATTGAGTAAAGAGTAGATAACCGGGTAATGTAAAATAAGGAGAAAAGTACATAAATTTCATTTTAACAGTGAAATATAAAAAATATAGAACAAAATCTCAGGAAAAAAGAATTAAAGAAATTAAATCAAAGTCGTAACCCATAAGAAAAGAAGATAGCATACAAATTTTGAACTGAAAAAGAACATTAAAAAAAATTAAATAACTTGTGTAATTAAAGCATGTAAAATTAGATACAGGAAATTAAAGCATATATATTATATAATTCTAAGAAGATTGGCTAAGAACACGAGCTCATTTTAAATATCAGACAAAAACATTGAGTGAAAGCTAAATGTTTACAATTTATATATATAATTAATTTGCATTATGAGATGAAGTTAAAAAAGATTTAAAATACTAATATCAATACAATGCACAAATTCATGTATCTAAAAAAAAATCATTTTTTCAGCCAATTCAATGTCCTGCCAATAAGTTTTCTTATTTTAATTTAATGAATTCAATTAATTGCTAGCAATTTTTTTATTTATCAATTTCAAAAGTCAAATAAATCCACTATATTATCAATTCAATAATGTTTTATTTGATCAGAATTGAAATATATATTTTTGACGAAGTCATATATCTTTTGTTTTGAATATCAATATGTAATATATAAAATAAGTCATAAATTTACAGAACATGTCTAAATGATATGGATTATTTTTCATTCCATGTAAGGCGTGAACCTCACATGTTTAGGCAATCAAGTCAAGGAAAAATTCTTGCACAAACTCAATACATCATATCATTCATACTCTGTTCAATTAAAATACGTCATGAAAGATGACTGTAAATATTGATTAATTTTGTTATTAATGATGATAGAAGGAGTCAAGCCAAAAAAAATAAAGAAATGCTTTAGTGTAAAAATAAAATCATTAAAAATAATAATATATAAAATTATATTTGATTAAACCATTTTTATTGGACAGGTCATGAACATGTGGCGCCTATACAAGAATTTATCGTAAGGTTTAAACTTAGAAGAAAGTGGAAGGATATAATTTATTTTAAAAAAAGGAAAACAAAAGAAAGAATTAATTTATCAACATGAAAGATATATCTCTTTTTTTTTTTCAAGTCCCATGTAATGCCAAAAAAAAAATAGTTTATTTAGTAATAGTTTCAAACTAGAAGAGAATATGGAAGGAGATAATTTATTAAAAATAAAGAAAAGAAAAGCTCAATTAATTTTAATTAAGGAAGATAATGGAGTGATGGATGATAATTATAATATAAGATTGTAACATAACTACGACTCCATTGTTGCCATGTCTTTGGTCCTTGTCCGTTCAACCCCTCAACTCTTTTTCTTTTCTTTTTTTAATTTTTAATAATTTTTTTAAAAAAAGTATTAAGCTTTAAAATAATTTTATATGTGATACAATGTAATATACTTTTACGTCAAACTTATAAAATGCTCAACTTTCAGAATTAGAATTGCTTTTTCTTAGATTTTGGTCGTCCATATTAACTTTCACGTCGGCGAGATTGAAGGACTATCAATATCATTGAATTTTGTGAGGAAATATATATAAATGAATTCAACACCCTATCACATCTTGACTTATAAATTTAATATATTGCTTTTTGAATCTACGAGTCTTCAATACAATATCATTTTTATGTATGTGATAATGGTAAAGACCCTTGATGGTATACTTGACTTTTCGTATAAAGAATGAGTTGTATTAATCATGATTTAAAAATCACAAATTTAGTTAACCATGCATGAAAATAATGGATCTATTTGTAAAATAATTTTTTTAAAAAAAATACAGCTTGGTTGTATTATATCTATCTATGTGTTTAATTGAAGGTAATTTTACATGAGTCAATTCTTAAAACCACATCATTTAACTTTTATTTAAATAGTTCAAAATTTATTTTATATTTTAATATAAAAATGTTATAAATTTATAATTGAATGCTTTTATTCTGTCTTTTATTTAAAAATATTTTATAAATTTTAATAGGTATACATGATTCAATTAGACAATTGATTTTTAATAATGAGTTACAACTTGCAGGTATTATCCGTAATTAAATTACAAAAAATAGCCAGCACACAACTTAAAACATGAAACGGCTACAAAATACACACACAACTTGAAATAGAATACCTATTGTTACTTTTTTTTTTTTGGGCCAGAAAGAGTACCTATTGTTACAAATTTATATATCTATATACTTAATTATTTTTGGCCGAAAAAATATACCCAATGATTAAATAAAAAAAGCTTGTGAGTGGAAGATAATCCCAGTCCTCGCAAGTTAAAAGATTAAAAAAGGAAAAAAAAAGTAATTTACAAATAATGAAAATTTAGGAACTGATTCCTTAAAATATGGCAAATCAATAATCAAATATTCGATGGCAAAGATGCCAAGTTGCCAACATTTATTGACTGACCATATTTTAAATAAAATTTATCCAGTAAAAAAAATATTTGTACACAATAAAAGAAAAAGTGCCAATTTGACATCCTTGCAACCTTACCTTTGTTTTCTTTTTTCAGAAGACCAGTTGTTACAAATCTATAAATCTATGTACCAAATGAATAGATAAATAGGTCTAAAATGTTGTCATAGGAGTACGAGGACACTTTTGATGTTGCCAATAAATAGTGTCAATTAATTTAACATTCTTGCATTTATTTATTTATTTTTAACACTTTTACTTCTTGCTTGTTTAAGTACTTCCTCCGTTTCTATTTATTAGAGAAACTAATATTTTAAATTTATTTTTATATATAAATAAATTTATATTTTTTAATAAGCATTTATTATAAATTTTTTAAATTACCCTTCATAATTTTATTATTCATAATTATAAGAGATAATCAATAAAGGCTTGATTAACACAATTAATGAAAGATATTATAATCTAATTTTTTTATTTACATGTACAATTAATATAATTAATTGATTTTCTCTAACTGTGTGATACGATTTTTTTCTCTTATAAATAGAAACGAAAGAAGTATTTCACACATTAATTACACTTTTTAATCATGTTTGTTTGCAAAAAAAATTTATTATTCACATTTTTTTCAAGATGTTATTTATTGGGCAAAATAATAATTTGACCTTTAAATTATAAATTCATGAGCATCTAAAAACATACACTCATTTTTTATACATATTTACATCTAAACATTTAAAATTGTGACAATTGCCCTTT